GAACGACCCAGAGCCCAGGCCTACTGATGGTATCATAGGCCCTGACCAGGTCAATAAAGCAGAGATGTAGGTCTTGTTGGAAGTCCCTACACCTCTGCTGTAGCAGACGGAAAGAAAATATTCAGGACCGCCCTTCCCTGAAACCGCATTGGGGTTCCGCAAGCCTCTCCTCAGCGTGCCTGGCAAGGCGATGCTGAATAATCCTTGCCAGGACCTTTCCCGGCACACTGAGGAGTGAGATGCCCCTGTAGTTGTTACAGTCTGTGCGGTCCCCCTTCTTAAAAAGGGGGACCACCAGGGCATCGTTCCAATCCTCCAGAACCCGTCCAGTGGTCCAGACTGTTGTTATGATGTCATGTAGGGCAGTCTGTGCACAAACGCCACCCTCCCTCAGCATTTCGCTTGGGAGATCATTTCTGCCCGGTGCCTTTCCTGGTCTCAAGACTCCGGATCACCTTCATTACCTCCTCAATAGATGGCACCTCAGCCAGCCACTCACAGGGGGTAACTTCTTCCAATATTCGAGGCACGGCAGCCTCAGCAGGGTCATCCCCACTTTGTCCCACGATGTTTTCCATGCCGAGGGATTTCCCCTCCCCCAAGACCTCGCAGAAATGCTCAATAAATCTGAAAACCTCTTCCTGGAGGTCAGAGATTGGATCACAGCTCTATCCCCTAATGATGGTGATAGGTGTGGCGCTGCAAGTTACTTTTTTGATGGAATTAAAGAGTGATTTGTGATCGCGGGCCACTGAGGCAGATTCCATCTCCTCAGCAATCTGCGGCGGTGAGAATGGACCCAACACTTTTTTTCTCAGCCAGCCTTAACACCTGCTCTGGTATTCTTAGCTCTTTCGGTAAAGTCACGTTGAAGGGAAACAATAAAATAATAAAATATATCTAAAACAATAAAAATTCTCACGACGTTTTGACCATAACACAAACGGTCGTCATCAGGTGTGTCGGTTTGCATGCCTGATGACGACCGTTTGTGTTATGGTCGAAACGTCGTGAGAATTTTGATTGTTTTATATATTTTATTATTTTATTGTTTCCCTTCAACGTGACTTTACCGAAAGAGCTAAGAATATGAATTACTGCAGTCACGAAAGCTTTAAATCAAAACCTGCTCTGGTGTTCATAGACACGCACAGTACACACAGTACACAGATTATCGGAAGTTCGAGAGTTCAAATCCTGGTTGGAGGGATTGACTCGGCCCATCAGCCTCCGGGGTCGTTAAAATAAGGCACCGCTTCGTGAGAAAGCTATAGGAACGGGAAATTTCCACCACTGGCTCAGGGTTGTTAATGGGATCGGAGCACCAATGGATCAACGCTCATTTGATTGGTGGCGTTGCGGTTAGCGCGCTGCACTATTAACCTGGCGTCCCGACTTCGATTCACGCTCACGGACACCCACACCAGTGGCGCTTGTCTGAACCGGTTCTGGGCCTCTCCTAGGTCGACTCAGCCTCAAACAAGTATCCGGAACGATGTGTAGTAAAGACTGCCACTGGGGAGACAAAGGCGGCCGGGCGTGGTGCTGGCCACCCACCCCCTCGTGTGCCGTGCCGGCCTTCATAGGTGCTACTCGCTAACAGCACTTGCCCCTACAGTCTGTTAAAGTTATACGGGGGATCTTTGTCTTTATCTTTGTGTGTCTGTGTGTACGTGTGTATGTATGTGTCTGTGCGTGCGTGTCTGCGCGTGCATGTCTGTGTGTCTTGTGTCTATGTATGTGTGTATCTGTGTGCACGTGTGTGTCTGTGTGTGTCTGTGTGTGTCTGTGTGTGTGTTTGTGTGTGTGTCTGTGTGTCAGTCGACCCGTGGCACCTGGGTCTGCCCCGTGACCTCCTGCCAGCGGGCGTTCGACACTTCATGTGGCCTCACGGTGCACATGGCCTGACACAAGCGTCGTGGTGATGTCACCGCCACTTAGTGGCGAATGGCGGTTGTTGTTGTTGTTGTGTGTATGTGTGTGTCTGTGCATGTGTGGCGTTGTCTCACCAGCGAGGTCACACCTCTGTTGTCCATGGTCCAGTCCTCCTTGGCCACCAGACCTTTCACCTCTGCGCAGAGACAGAAAAAACACCCCCTAAGCAAAGCCTCAAACTAAACTATATAGCGGGAAACCTTTTCGCCAGCATCAATGTATAGGCTTCATCCTTTTCTTATTCGTCATACTTTGATACTGGCAAAAACGACCCCACCATATAGATGCTCAACTCCGAGCTACAAATGGTCTCATTGTGGCATCGTCTTCGTACTGGTCGCCCTTTTTGCTGACGCTGGTGGTGAGACAAGGCCGTGAATAAGATTGAAAGCTGTCCCTGGCGTAGGCCAATCGGTTTCAAAGACAATGTGAAAAGGGGCCGTCCACAAGTGACGTTTCGGCTGCAACACGAGCAATCGTCATCAGGTGTGAAAACACCACAGCGAGAAAAAATTGGAAAAAAAAGCGGCGGTTTTTTTTCCGTTCCCAATTTTCTTGCCGTGGTTTTTTTTCACACCTGATGACGATTGCTGCTTTTGTTGCAGTCGAAACGTCGTGAGAATTTTATCGTTTTATATTTGTACAATTTCATTGTTTCGATTTAAAGCTTTCATGACTGCAATGATTCATCTTCTTTGGTTCTTTCGGTAAAGTCACGTAGAATGAGAATAAAATAATAAATTGATAAAATAAAATAACACAATAAAATTCTCACGACGTTTCGGCCACAACACAAGCGGCCTTCATCAGGTGAAGGGACGAGACTGTCTGGTAGGACAGCGCTGGAGTGAGGCTTAAAGGCCGTGATCTGAACGTGGCTCTTTCACTCCTGAGCTGCAACGCAGCTCTCTGTCAGAAGCCACCTGGCCATCACAAATGACAGCTCAACCAAGTGGCATCTTGTCAACATCATCGTCATCATCACCACCACCACCAACGTGGACATTCGTAACAGCAGCAAAATACTCTAAAAGTGTGTTTCTACAGACTCATAGACACACATTGAATAAAACACGTGACGCTGATTCGAAATGTTGGGGGGAGGGGGGGAAACCGGAGGACCCGGAGAAAAATCCTCGCGGCCACCACGTGGGCGAGACGGAGAGACGCAAACTACCAAACAACACAGTCAAACCTTGGCCTTGCACTCGTATATCAGTGTGTGATCACGTGATGCTCGGCAGCACAGAGGCGTGTACACGCACACTGCTCGTATTGCACAGACCCCCTCGCTCGTTCACCAAGTTAATATTTGTTTAACATTGCTTGATCGTCTTGCAAAACACTCCGAGGCCAAGTTACTCGCAATACAACTATTTTGTCCTCTGTCAACGTGACACTTTTTTTTTGCTGCTTGGCCGTGTCGGGTGGTGGAGGGTTAGTTACGACGCATTTATAAATAACGCGATCTAACCCCACAAACCTTTACGATGAATTATTATGAATCAATGTTTTACTGTAATTACATTCTTTGGTTCTTTCGGTAAAGTCCCGCAACCCAAGCGACCGCCATCGGGTGGGAAAGCGTTGATCTGCTGCTGTGGCAGACTGTTTTTAAAAGGTTTGAAATGGGTGTAGCCCAAGGGTCATAAAGGAGTGGCCGGGGCTAGTGATGTTAATGTGATACATTAGCGTGATGTTAACGTGAGTGATTAGCGTGATGTTAATGCGAGGCATTAGCGTGATGTTAATGTGAGAGATTAGCGTGATGTTAATGTGAGAGATTAGCGTGATGTTAATGTGAGAGATTAGCGTGATGTTAATGTGAGAGATTAGTGTGATGTTAATGTGAGAGATTAGCGTGATGTTAATGTGAGAGTTTAGCGTGATGTTAATGTGAGAGATTAGCGTGATGTTAATGTGAGAGATTAGCGTGATGTTAATGTGAGAGATGAGTGTGATGTTAATGTGAGAAATTAACGTGATGTTAATGTGAGAGATTAACGTGATGTTAATGTGAGAGATTAGCGTGATGTTAATGTGAGAGTTTAGCGTGATGTTAATGTGAGAGATTAGCGTGATGTTAACGTGAGTGATTAGCGTGATGTTAACGTGAGAGATTAGCGTGATGTTAATGTGAGAGATTAGCGTGATGTTAATGTGAGAGATTAGCGTGATGTTAATGTGAGAGATTAGCGTGATGTTAATGTGAGAGATTAGTGTGATGTTAATGTGAGACATTAGCGTGATGTTAATGTGAGAGATTAGCGTGATGTTAATGTGAGAGTTTAGTGTGATGTTAATGCGAGAGATTAGTGTGATGTTAATGTGAGAAATTAGCGTGATGTTAATGTGAGAGCTTAGCGTGATGCTAATGTGAGAGATTAGCGTGATGTTAATGTGAGAGATTAGCGTGATGTTAATGTGAGAGATTAGCGTGATGTTAATGCGAGAGATTAGGGCCACAAGAGGTTCGTGGTTGGAGCCCAGCGGCCGCCCTGGTCAATACTGAGGTGGAGTAAAACCTGAACACGGTAGAGGCACAGACCCCCGCCACCAGCGCCCGCTCACGCCGCTGCTGGCGGGGAGCGGGGATGTTGGCCGACTCTGCCACGCGCCGGTGAGACGCCTGCGGCCGTCTGGAACGCTCTTCCTTCAGATATTAGAGAAGCTACTGGAGCTATGATGCACTTTTAAATCATCTAGTTTGACGAACTGATTTCTTAAGAGCTGCTTGTTTATGTTGTTGTGTTTATAGTTTGTTGTCCTTCCCCTACGTTCGCCGGTGCGAAAGAAGTTCAACGTATTTATATATACATACTCGGAGCCAGGGTTCGAAGTTAGGCGTTGCCTCTGGCTCAGTGTCTCCGGCACGTAAACCCTGGCTCCTCGAGGTTCAAGCCTTGCAATTCCACGTCCTCGCCACAACGCGGTGCCACGGTTGGCTAGGAGTTGTCTCATATCTCGCCTGGCACGCAGGAGAGCGGAGGTTGGAACCCGGCTTTGACGCCCGTCAATTTGGGAGTCTGCAACGTTTGCTCCCCGGGGCCACGTGGATGTTTCTCCTGGGTTCCTCCGGTTTTTCTCTCCACGTTAAGCACCAACGTCACGCGTTTAGGGTATTTAGCAGCTGCTATAAACGTCCACGTGATGATGATGATGATAAGCTATTTGGTTTGAGATATCATTTGTGATGGCCAGGCCGCTTCTGAGAAAGAGCCACGTGGCTCAGCGGGGCCTTACCTGGAAAAATAAAAAGTTTTGTTTTAGTGTGGGTTTCTGTGGGTCTATGGGTTGCTGTGGGTCTATGGGTCTCTATGGGTCTATGGCTCTATGGGTGTCTATGATTATGGCTCTCTGTGGCTCTCTGCAGAAACACGCGTTTATAGAGTATCTGGCTGCTATACATTACCACGTGATGATGTTAAGCCACCTGGTTGGCCAGGCATGAAAAGAGCTAAACAGCAGCTCAGTGGGGCCTTAGGTTTAATTGTATAGTTTGTAGTTTGATGTATCTGGGACCCGGCCTTTGTGAAACCCTTGTGAGAGTGAGAGAGACAGGGAAGACACTCCGTTTGGCTGGCCATCAAACAAATACGGTGGTCACAGAATCGCACGGCGCGGTCAGATGCGCTTCTGTGGCCGTCTGGAATGCTCTTGCCGACAATATCAGGAAGCCATTGGGAACTATGATGCACTTTTACATCATCGTCCAGACTGACAAACTCATTTCTTTAGACTCACGGGCAGAGATCCATAGACTCACGGAGAGTCCCGCAGACTCACAAAGAGCCCCATAGACTCCCACAGAGACCCACAGACTCACACAGAGATCCATAAACTCACACAGAGACCCATAAACTCGCAGAGAGACACATAAACTCACGCAAAGACCCATAGACTCACACAGAGACCCACAGACTCACACTGTGACCCAAAGACTATTTCAGAGACCTATAGACTCACACAGAGACCCATAGACTCACACAGAGACCCACAGACTCACACTGTGACCCAAAGACTATTTCAGAGACCTATAGACTCACACAGAGACCCATAGACTCACACAGAGACCCACAGACTCACACAGAGACACATAGACTCACACAGAGACCCATTTCTTTAGAACTGCTTCTTGTTTTGATTTAAAGTTTTCGTGACTGCAGGGATTCATCTTCTTGATTCTTTCGGTAAAGTCAGGTAGAATGGAAAAAAAAAGCAAGAAAAATAATAATAATTAATTAAATATATCTCTTTATTTTTATGTTTTATTTTTATTATTTTATTTCCATTCTACGTGACTTTACCGAAAGAACCAATGAGATGCTTCTTGTTTGTTGTCTTCCCCCCCCCACACCTTCGATGAGCGCAGTTTGGCTGCACATGGTGGTGTGAAAGAAGTTCAAATTGCACGCACACACGCACGCACACACGTGTGTACACACGTACGTACACACACGTACACACATGTACGCACACACACGTACACACGTGCGTACACACATACGTACACACATGTTCGCACACACGTACGTACACACGTACGTACACACGTACGTACACACACATACGTACACACACGTACACACACACGTACACACGTACACACGTACACACGTGTGTACGTACACACACGTACGCACACACGTACGTACACACACGTACACACGTGTGTACGTGTGTGTACATACGTACACACTCGGAGCCAGGGCTCGAACCTTGGAATTCAGCGTTGCTCCCTCAGTGCGGTCTGGGGACCCGGCTATCGTGGCCCGTGGCTCGCCGCAGCCGCCGGCAAAGTCTCACCGTGAGCCGTCTGCTGCAGCACGGTGATGACGGCGTAGACGCGCAGGTCCAGGATGAAGTCGTGGAGCCCTTGCAGCATGTCGCTGGGCAGGTCCAGCGCCGTTAGAGACTCCACGCAGTTCCTGCCAGAGACACCACCAGCAGCAGCAGCAGCATCAGCATCAGCAGCAGCATCAGTAGCAGCAGCAGCAACAGCAGCATCAGCAGCATCAGCAGCAGCAGTAGCAGCATCAACAGCAGCAGCGGCAGCAGCAGCATCAGCAGCGGCAGCAGCAGCATCAGCAGCATCATCATCATCAGAAGCATCAGCATCATCATCATCAGCAGCATCAGCATCATCAGCATCATCATCATCAGCAGCATCATCATCAGCAGCAGCATCAGCAGCATCAGCAGCAGCATCATCAACATCAACATCATCAGCAGCAGAATAAGCATCATGATCAGCAGCATCATCGGCATTATGATCAGCATCAGGAGCAGCATTCATCAGCATCATCATCATCAACAGCAGCAGCATCATCGTCGTCAGCATCATCAGCAGCATCGTCAGCAGCAGCATCAAATTCACTAGCAGCTTAATTAACAGCATCATCATCAGCGGCATCATTGGCATCATCATCAGCAGCATCATTGGCATCATCATCAGCAGCATCATCAGCATCCGCAGCATTCGCAACTTTCGCATCACCATCAGCAGCTTCACCATCATCAGCATCATCACAATCACCATCAGCATCATCACAATCACCACCATCACCACCATCCTCACCACCATCACCACCACTATCATCATCAGATCCCCCGTGTATCCTGTAACAGGCTGTAGGGGCAAGTGCTGTTAGCGAGTGGCACCTTTGAAGGCCGGCACTGTGGCACACGAGGGGGGTGGGTGACTAACACCACGCCCGGCCGCCTTTGTCTTCCCCAGTGACGATGTTTACACACCGCACCAGGTGCTCATTTGAGGCTGAGTCGACCTAGGGGAGGCCCAGGACCGGTTCAGATAATCGTCACCGGTGTTGGCCATGAGCGGGAATCGAACTCTGGTCGCCAGGTTCATAGCGCAGCGTAGCACTAACCACTAGTCAGGTGGGGGGGGGGTAACCCCTCCAACAATGAGAAATGAGATAGTTGTTAGTAAGTAAGGAGTTGTTAGTAAGGAGTTGTTAGTAAGGAGTTGTTAGTAAGGAGTTGTTAGTAAGGGGTTGTTAGTAAGTAAGGAGTTGTTAGTAAGCAAGGAGTTGTTAGTAAGGAGTTGTTAGTAAGTAAGGAGTTGTTAGTAAGGAGTTGTTATTAAGTAAGGAGTTGTTAGTAAGTAAGGAGTTGTTAGTAAGTAAAACGTTGTCAGTAAGTAGTTGTTAGTAAGGAGTTGTTAGTAAGGAGTTGTTAGTAAGGAGTTGTTAGTAAGGAGTTGTTAGTAAGAAAGGAGTCGTTAGTGAGTAAGGAGTTGTTAGTGGGTAAGGCGTTGTAAGGAGTTGTTAGTAAGTAAGGAGTTGTTAGTAAGGAGTTGTTAGTAAGGAGTTGTTAGTAAGTAAGGAGTTGTTAGTAAGTAAGGAGTTGTTAGTAAGTAAGGAGTTGTTAGTAAGGAGTTTTTAGTAAGTAAGGAGTTGTTAGTGAGGAGTTGTTAGTAAGGAGTTGTTAGTAAGTAAGGAGTTGTTAGTAAGGAGTTGTTAGTAAGGAGTTGTTAGTAAGGAGTTGTTGGTAAGTAAGGAGTTGTTAGTAAGGAGTTGTTAGCAAGGAGTTGTTAGTAAGGAGTTGTTGGTAAGGAGTTGTTAGTAAGTAAGGAGTTGTTAGTAAGTAAGGAGTTGTTAGTAAGTAAGGAGTTGTTAGTAAGGAGTTGTTAGCAAGGAGTTGTTAGTGAGTAAGGAGTTGTTAGTAAGGAGTTGTTAGTGAGTAAGGAGTTGTTAGTAAGGAGTTGTTAGTAAGGAGTTGTTAGTGAGTAAGGAGTTGTTAGTAAGGAGTTGTTAGTGAGTAAGGAGTTGTTGGTAAGTAAGTAGTTAGTAGGGAGTTGTTAGTAAGTAAGGAGTTGTTAGTAAGGAGTTGTTAGTAAGGAGTTGTTAGTAAAGAGTTGTTAGTAAGGAGTTGTTAGTAAGTAAGGAGTTGTTAGTAAGGAGTTGTTAGTAAGAAAGGAGTTGTTAGTGAGTAAGGAGTTGTTAGTGGGTAAGGCGTTGTAAGGAGTTGTTAGTAAGTAAGGAGTTGTTAGTAAGGAGTTGTTAGTAAGGAGTTGTTAGTAAGTAAGGCGTTGTTAGTAAGTAAGGAGTTGTTAGTAAGTAAGGAGTTTTTTTTAGTAAGTAAGGAGTTGTTAGTAAGGAGTTTTTAGTAAGTAAGGAGTTGTTAGTGAGGAGTTGTTAGTAAGGAGTTGTTAGTAAGTAAGGAGTTGTTAGCAAGTAAGGAGTTGTTAGTAAGTAAGGAGTTGTTAGTAAGTAAGAAGGTGTTAGTAAGTAAGAAGGTGTTGATGCCTTCAGGGAAGTCGTGGGCTCTGTAGACACAACTGGGCACAATTCTGTGAGTCGCTGTAAACTGCTTTGCCGTTACTTATCGCCAATTATGGACTCAGACTCTTGTCCTATCATCTCACAGAGTACCTGGCACGTAATAATAATAATATGCTACATAGTGGCAGTCGCAAAATGCCCATCTATTACTAATAAACCCCAATGATCCGATCGAAATGGGGGATTTCGATCGGATCATTGGGGGGGCACGTGCCCCCCCCCCCCCCCCCCCGGCTCCGCCAGAGGCTACCGCACCACCATCACCACCATCCTCACCACCACCATCACCACCTCCACCATCACCACCATCACCACCACCACCATCCTCACCACCACCACCACCATCCTCACCACCACCACCATCACCACCACCACCATCCTCACCATCACCACCACCACCATCACCACCACCACCATCCTCACCACCACCACCTCCACCATCACCACCTCCACCATCACCACCATCACCACCACCATCACCACCACCACCTCCACCATCACCACCATCACCATCACCACCATCACCACCTCCACCATCACCACCACCACCATCACCACCATCACCACCTCCACCATCACCACCATCACCAACATCCTCACCACCACCACCATCACCACCATCACCACCACCACGGCCACCTGAGCGTGGTGACCAGCTGGGGTAGCCAGCGGCCGGGAAGTTCCCGGGCCCCCCTCCACCCGTCCCAGGGCTTGGCGCCCCCCACGTCCCTGCCGGGGGGAGGGGCGGCGCCCCCCCTCAGCAGCTTCACCTGCAGGGCCAGAACCTCCCCCAGCATCTTCTACACACACACAGTCACATACAGACACACACACACACACAGTGACACACACACACAGACACACACACACAGTCACACACACACACAGACACACACACACAGACACACACACAGTCACACACACACACACAGTCACACACACAGACACACACACACACAGACACACACAGTGACACACACACACACACAGACACACACACACAGTCACATACACACAGACACACACAGTCACACACACACAGTCACACACACACACAGACACACACATACACACACACACAGACACACACACAGACACACACACACAGACACACACACAGTGACACACACACAGACACACACACACAGTCACACACACACAGACACACACAGTCACACACACACACACAGACACACACACAGACACACACACACAGTCACACACACACAGTGACACACACACACAGACACACACACACACACACAGTCACACACACACAGACACACACAGTCACACACACACACACAGTCACACACACACAGACACACACAGTCACACACACACAGACACACACACAGACACACACACAGTCACACACACAGACACACACAGACACACACAGACACACACACAGTCACACACACAGTCACACACACACAGTCACACACAGTCATACACACACAGTCACACACACACACACACAGTCACACACACACAGACACAGTCACACACAGACAGTCACACACACACACACACAGTCACACACACACACACAGTCACACACACAGTCTCACACACACAGTCACACACACACACAGACACACACACACACAGTCACACACACAGACACACATACACACAGTCACACACACGCAGAGTCACACACACACACAGACACACACACAGTCACACACACACACACAGACACACACAGTCACACACACACAGTCACACAGACACAGTCACACAGACACAGTCACACACAGACACAGACAAACAGTCACACACAGACACAGTCACACACAGACACACACACACAGTCACACCCACACAGTCACACACACACACAGTCACACACACACAGTCACACACAGACACACAGTCACACACAGACACACAGTCACACACACACACAGTCACACACACACAGTCACACACACACAGTCACACAGTCACACACACACAGTCACACACACACACAGTCACACAGTCACACACACACAGTCACACAGTCACAAAAGACAGTTACACACACACACAGTCACACACACACAGACACACACACACAGTCACACACACAGACACACACACACAGTCACACAGTCACACAGACACACACACACAGACACACACACACAGTCACACACACACACACAGACACACACACAGTCACACGCACACACAGACACACACAGTCACACACACACAGTCACACACACACAGACACACACAGTCACACAGACACAGTCACACACACACAGTCACACACAGACACAGACAAACAGTCACACACAGACACACACACACACACAGTCACACCCACACAGTCACACACACACAGTCACACCCACACAGTCACACACACACAGTCACACACACACACAGTCACACACACACACAGTCACACACACACAGTCACACACACACAGTCACACACACACAGTCACACACACACACAGTCACACACACACAGTCACACACACACAGTCACACACACACAGTCACACAGTCACACACACACAGTCACACACACACAGACACACAGTCACACACACACAGTCACACACACACAGACACAGTCACACACACACAGTCACACAGTCACACAGTCACACACACACAGTCACACACACACAGTCACACACACACACAGACACACACACAGTCACACACACACACACAGTCACACACACAGACACACACACACAGTCACACACACACACAGTCACACAGACGCACACACACAGACACACACACAGTCACACACACACACACAGACACACACACACAGTCACACGCACACACAGTCACACACACACAGTCACACAGACACACACACACAACGTCATACACACAGTCACACACACACAGACACACACACACACAGTCACACACACAGTCACACACACACACAGACACACACACAAACAGACACACACAGACACACACAGACACACACAGACACACACACACACAGTCACACACACAGTCACACACACAGACACACACACACAGACACACACACACAGTCACACACACAGTCACACACACACACACAGACACACACACACACAGTCACACACACAGTCACACACAGCCACACACACACAGACACACACACAGACACACACAAACAGACGCAAAAAAGACAAAGATCCCCGTGTAGCCTTAACAGACTGTTGGGGCAAGTGCTGTTAGCGAGCAGCACCCAGGCCGAGGGGGGTAGGGGGGGTTGTGAGGGGGGGTAGGGGGGGTTGTGAGGGGGGGGGTAGGGGGGGTTGTGAGGGGGGGGTTGTGAGGGGGGACAGGGGGGGTAGGGGGGGTTGTGAGGGGGGGGTAGGGGGGGGCTGTTAGGGGGGGGGTTGTGAGGGGGGACAGGGGGGGTAGGGGGGGTTGTGAGGGGGGGGGGGTAGGGGGGGTTGTGAGGGGGGGTGTGAGGGGTAGGAGTGATACGCGACGGCCCCGGCTGGCGTGTGATTGGCCGGTGGCCTTGGCACCGCCCTCCCCACGTGGTGAGGGTACAGGAGAGGCTGCCCCTGTGGGGGTCTCTAGAGCCTCGCCCTCACCACAGCGGTGGCGACGATGACGACCATGATGACGATGATGACGATGATGACGACCATGATGACGATGATGACGACCATGATGACCATGATGACGATGATGACGATGATGACGATGATGACGACCATGATGACGATGATGACGACCATGATGACCATGATGACGATGATGACGATGATGACGATGATGACGACCATGATGACGATGATGACGACCATGATGACGATGATGACGATGATGACGACCATGATGACGATGATGACGATGATGACGATGATGACGATGATGACGACCATGATGACCATGATGACGATGATGACGACCATGATGACCATGATGACGATGATGACGATGATGACGATGATGACGACCATGATGACGATGATGACGACCATGATGACCATGATGACGATGATGACGATGATGACGATGATGACGACCATGATGACGATGATGACGACCATGATGACGATGATGACGATGATGACGACCATGATGACGATGATGACGATGATGACGACCATGATGACGATGATGACGATGACGACCATGATGACGATGATGACGACCATGATGACGATGATGACGATGACGACCATGACGACCATGATGACGATGATGACGATGATGACGACCATGATGACGATGATGACGATGATGACGACCATGATGACGATGATGACGATGACGACCATGATGACGATGATGACGACCATGATGACGATGATGACGATGACGACCATGATGACGATGATGACGATGATGACGACCATGATGACGATGATGACGATGATGACGATGATGACGATGACGACCATGATGACCATGATGACGACCATGATGACCATGATGACGACCATGACGACCATGATGACGATGATGACGACGACGACCATGATGACGATGATGATGACGATGATGACGATGATTATGATGATGACGATGATGTTGACGATGTTGATGACGATGATGACGATGACGACCATGATGACGATGACGACCATGATGACGATGACGACCATGATGACGATGATGATGACGATGACGACCATGATGACGATGATGACGACCATGATGACGATGATGACGATGATGACGACCATGATGACGATGACAACCATGATGACGACGATGACAAAGACTATGATGACGATGATGACGACGACCATGATGACGATGATGATGACAATGATGATGATGATGATTATGATGATGACGATGATGTTGACATGTTGATGACGATGCTGACGATGACGACGACGATGATGACGATGATGACGATGATGATGATGACGATGATGACGACGATGACGACGATGCTGACGATGCTGACGATGACGACGATGATGATGTTGACGATGATAATGATGATGTTGACGATGACAATGATGGCAATGACGACGCTGCGACGTTTATTTACGTTGGCCCAGGGAGCTGTGGGAACGAGCCGGAGGGGAGAGGGAAGCCCCTCCCCCACACCTACCCCAACAAAGACAAAGATCCCCCGCGTAGCCTTGGCAGACTGTCGGGGCAAGAGCCGCTATGAAGGCCGGCACTGTGGCACTCGAGGGGGTGGGTGGCAAGCACCACGCCCGGCCACCTTTGTCTCCCCAGTGGCGATGTTTACTACACACTGCTACGAGATACTGGTTTGAGGCAGAGTCGACCTAGGGGATACCCAGAACCGGTTCAGATAATCGCTATCGCAGGAGGTGTTGGCAACCGCGCGTTCAACACGGGTGGCCCGGTTCGTAGCACGGCGCGCTAACCACTGCACCACCGCTCCTATCCTCCCCCCCCCCGGCTATTCTAGAGCGGCACCACGACCTCAGAAACAATGGCGCCCGTTTACAAGATGAACAACTACCGCCACCATCACCACCACCACCATCACCACCGCCACCATCACCACCACGACCACCGCCGCCACCGCCACAACCACTACCACCACCACTGCCACCACCGCCACCACCACCACCATCCACCCCCACCACCGCCACCAGCCACCACCGCCACCACCACCACCGATCCCGCAGCAGCAGCTGCATGCAACGGGTTCATCGGCGCATCCCGTCCAGGTCCTCGATGTATTTATATATTATATAGACACAGTGAGGGAAAAAAGTATTTGATCCCCTGCTGATTTTGTACGTTTGCCCACTGACAAGGAAATGATCAGTCTATAATTTTAATGGTAGGTTTATTTGAACAGTGAGACAACAACAAAAATCCAGAAAAACGCAAGTCAAAAATGTTATAAATTGATTTGCATTTTAATGAGGGAGATAAGTATTTGACCCCCTCTCAATAATAAAGATTTCTGGCTCCCAGGTGTCTTTTATACAGTTAACGAGCTGAGATTAGGAGCATTCTCTTAAAGAGAGTGCTCCTAATCTCAGCTTGTTACCTGTATAAAAGACACCTGTCAACAGAAACAATCAATCAATCAGATTCCAAACTCTCCACCATGGCCAAGACCAAAGAACTCTCCAAGGATGTCAGGGACAAGATTGTAGACCTACACAAGGCTGGAATGGGCTACAAGACCATTGCCAAGCAGCTTGGTGAGAAGGTGACACCAGTTCGTGCGATTATTCACAAATGGAAGAAACACAAAAGAACTGTCAATCTCCCTCGGCCTGGGGCTCCATGCAAGATCTCACCTCGTGGAGTTGCAATGATCATGAGAACGGTGAGGAATCAGCCCAGAACTACACGGGAGGATCTTGTCAATGATCTCAAGGCAGCTGGGACCATAGTCACCAAGAAAACAATTGGTAACACACTACGCTGTGAAGGACTGAAATCCTGCAGCACCCGCAAGGTCCCCCTGCTCAAGAAAGCACATATACATGCCTGTCTGAAGTTTGCCAATGAGCATCTGAATGGTTCAGAGGACAACTGGGTGAAAGTGTTGTGGTCAGATGAGACCAAAATGGGGCTCTTTGGCATCAACTTAACTCGCCGTGTTTGGTGGAGGAGGAATGCTGCCTATGACTCCAAGAACACAATCCCCACAGTCAAACATGGAGGTGGAACATTATGCTTTGGGGGTGTTTTTCTGCTAAGGGGACAGGACAACTTCACCGCATCAAAGGGACGATGGACGGGGCCATGTAACGTCAAATTTTGGGTGAGAACCTCTTTCCCTCAGCCAGGGCATTGAAAATGGGTCGTGGATGGGTATTCCAGGATGACAATGACCCAAAATACACGGCCAAGGCAACAAAGGAGTGGCTCAAGAAGAAGCACATTAAGGTCCTGAAGTGGCCTAGCCAGTCTCCAGACCTTAATCCCATCGAAAATCTGTGGAGGGAGCTAAAGGTGCGAGTTGCCAAACGTCAGCCTCAAAACCTTAATGACTTGGAGAAGATCTGCAAAGAGGAGTGGGACAAAATCCCTCCTGAGATGTGTGCAAACCTGGTGGCCAACTACAAGAAACGTCTGACCTCTGTGATTGCCAACAAGGGTTTTGCCACCAAGTACTAAGTCATGTTTTGCAGAGGGGTCAAATACTTATTTCCCTCATTAAAATACAAATCAATTTATAACATTTTTGACATGCGTTTTTTCTGGATTTTTGTGTTGTTATTCTGTCTCTCACTGTTCAAATAAACCTACCATTAAAATTATAGACTGATCATTTCCTTGTCAGTGGGCAAACGAACAAAATCAGCAGGGGATCAAATACTTTTTTCCATCACTGTAGCTATATTATTATTTTACAAGGTAAGGCCCGCTAGGCTATCACAAATGACAGCTCAACAAAAGTGACATTTGTAGCAGCAGCCCAAGACTGGGAACCGGAGAAATATCCACACGACCATGGGGAGAGAGAGAGACGCAGACTCCAAATACACAGCAGCAGGCATCGTCTAGGGCCAGGATCGAACCCACGGCTTCCCGTATACCAGGCGAGGGAGTTAACATCTCATAGCCAGAGCAGCGCCCCCCAATCAAAATCGGTTTCACTTGGCACGATGGCCTCCTCTCAAAGTGCACCTAGCCTGGCACAACCGCCGCGGTGACGTCACCGCCGCGGCCGTGACGCCGGGTGCACGCCACCCCCCCCCTCCTTCTCCCCGCCTCCCTCTCTCTCTTCAGAAGGTTCCGGAACGTCGGCGGTCACGGCACAGGGCGGCAGTGACCAGGGCGGCCGCGGGGTTCAAACCACGGAGCTCTTGAGAGGCGGCAAACTCAACGTCACCTCCGAGCCCGGGGGGGGGGGGGGGGGGGTGGGGGGCGATCGGTTGTGAGCGTGATCCACCAACTCCTGGCCCCCCTTACCCACAATCCCCCGCCCTCACCCCCCACCCCCCCCGCCGCACAGACACGGGGACTCACGACTTCCGGCAGCCCGTCGCTCGCTCGCTCGCTCACTCGCTCACCTTGAAGTCGTGCTGCCTCAGCCGGGCGTTCTTCTTCGCTTTCTCAACCTGGTCGGACTTGTCACCGGTCTGCTCGCGGAGACGCACGCAGACAAAGAGACACACGCAGTCGCAGGCAGACTGTGTGAGTGAGTGTGTGTGTGAGTGAGTGTGGGAGTGTGAGTGTGAGTGAGTGTGTGTGTGTGTGGGTGAGTGGGTGGGTGTGAGTGTGTGTGGGTGGGTGTGAGTGAGTGAGTGAGTGTGTGAGTGTGGGTGTGTGTGAGTGTGTGTGTGGGTGTGAGTGTGTGGGTGTGTGTGTGAGTGTGTGTGGGTGTGTGTGTGTGAGTGTGGGTGTGTGTGAGTGAGTGTGTGTGAGTGTGTGTGGGTGTGTGTGTGTGGGTGTGAGTGTGTGAGTGAGTGTGTGAGTGAGTGTGTGTGTGTGTGAGTGAGTGTGTGAGTGAGTGTGTGAGTGTGTGAGTGAGTGTGTGAGTGAGTGTGTGTGTGAGTGTGTGTGTGAGAGTGTGTGTGTGAGTGTGTGTGAGTGTGTGGGTGTGTGAGTGTGTGTGTGTGAGTGTGTGAGTGAGTGTGTGTGGGTGAGTGTGAGTGAGTGTGTGTGTGTGTGAGTGTGTGTGTGTGAGTGAGTGTGTGAGTGAGTGTGTGTGTGTGTGGGAGTGTGTGTGTGAGTGTGTGGGTGTGTGTGTGTGTGTGAGTGTGTGAGTGTGTGTGTGTGAGTGTGTGTGGGTGGGTGAGTGTGAGTGAGTGTGAGTGTGTGGGTGAGTGGGTGTGTGAGTGTGTGTGTGTGAGTGTGGGTGAGTGAGTGTGTGTGTGTGTGAGTGTGTGAGTGAGTGTGTGTGTGTGAGAGTGTGTGTGTGAGTGTGTGTGTGTGAGTGTGTGGGAGTGTGTGTGTGAGTGTGTGTGAGTGTGTGAGTGTGTGTGTGAGTGAGTGTGTGAGTGTGTGAGTGAGTGAGTGTGTGTGTGTGAGTGTGTGTGTGAGTGAGTGAGTGTGTGAGTGAGTGAGTGTGTGAGTGAGTGTGTGAGTGAGTGTGTGAGTGAGTGTGTGTGTGAGTGTGTGTGTGAGTGGGTGTGTGAGTGTGTGTGAGTGAGTGTGTGAGTGAGTGTGTGTGTGAGTGGGTGTGTGAGTGAGTGTGTGTTAGTATATGAGTGAGTGTGTGAGTGAGTGTGTGTTAGTATATGAGTGTGTGTGTGAGTATATGAGTGTGTGTGTGTGTATTAGTATATGAGTGAGTGTGTGTGTTAGTATATGAGTGTGTGTGTGAGTGTGTTAATATATGAATGAGTGTGTGAGTGAGTGTGTGTTAGTATATGAGTGAGTGTGTGCGTGAGTGTATATTAGTATATGATTGAGTATGTGAGTGAGTGTATGTTAATATATGAGTGAGTGTGTGTTAGTATATGTGTGACTGAGTGTGTGTTAGTATATGAGTGAGTGTGTGCGTGAGTGTATATTAGTATATGAGTGAGTGTGAGTGTGTGTTAATATATGAGTGTGTGTGAGTATATGAGTGAGTGTGTGAGTGAGTGTGTGTTAGTATATGAGTGTGTGCGTACAGATATAATGGGAGGCTGATCGATGTCCGGGTGCGGTCAAGGGATGGCTCCCTATTGCTCAACCACGTTATGTATGACGATGTTTGGTAATAGCTGCTCAGTCAGAGGAGGAGTTGGAGACGCTGCTGCTGAGACTGGAGCGTGCCACTAAGAGGTGGGGCCTTACCATCAGACCCACCAAAACTAAGCACCTGCCTGGGTATTTTGTACCATCGGACACTCCACCCCCACAACTCCCAATCGGTGATGGGGCAGTTGTGGAGAGAGTGGAGAGTTTCCCATACCTGGGCAGTGTGCTTATGACTGGCTCCAGTTTAACAGCAGAGGTCTCACTCCGAATCAGTCGAGCGGCAATATCTTTTCATCGGTTGCGTAACGCTGTGTGGAAGCTACCTGGTCTGTCGCTCCGCACTAAGCTTCAGGTCTTCTCGGCCACGGTCATTCCCTCCCTTCTCTACGCTTGCGAAACGTGGACCCCCCTAATGGAACATCTTTGCCGGTTAGAAACATTTAGGCTGGCCTGCCTACGATCCATCCTGGGTTTAACCAGACTGGATTGTGTGAGGAGCTCACAAATCCTTGAAAGATCTGGGCAAGGTCCCATCAGTGAGCTCCTCAGGCGGGCAAGGCTGCGATTGCTGGGTCATGTAGCCCGCATGCCCAGCCACCGCATGCCGAAACAGCTTTTGTTTGGCCGAATTGAGGGGGCTAAGCGGGCGCGACACGGGCTAGAGAAGAGATGGAGTGTTGTGGTACAGGAGGACGTGGAGCTGAGTGGACTTGCCGATGACTGGTACCAGCGGTGTCAAGATCGGCCTCTGTGGAGGAGGCTCGTGAAGGATGCTACTGGGCAGTTGGAGGTAGTCGCCCTCCAACAACAACGGAGGGCGGAGGAACGACGCTCAGAACAACGAGCGGAGCGCCGGGTAGCTAAAGCACAGCAGGTTGGCACAGTAGGGGGCACAGGTGGTGCATCAGCCAGTCATCTTAGTCATCTCAGTCAGTCGACCCGTGGCACCTGGGTCTGCCCCGTGACCTCCTGCCAGCGGGCGTTCGACACTTCAGGTGGCCTCAGGGTGCACATAGCCTGGCACAAGCGTCGTGGTGACGTCACCACCACTTAGTGGCGAATGGCGGTTGTTGTTGTTGTTAGTATATGAGTGTGTGAGTGAGTGTGTGTTAATATATGAGTGAGTGTGTGTGAGTGTGTATTAGTATATGAGTGAGTGTGTGTGAGTGTGTATTAGTATATGAGTGAGTGTGTGTTAGTATATGAGTGTGTGAGTGAGTGTGTGTTAATATATGAGTGAGTGAGTGTGAGTATATGAGTGTGTGAGTGAGTGTGTGTTAGTATATGAGTGAGTGTGAGTATATGAGTGAGTGTGTGTGAGTGTGTATTAGTATATGAGTGAGTGTGTGTTAGTATATGAGTGTGTGAGTGAGTGTGTGTTAATATATGAGTGTGTGAGTGAGTGTGTGTTAATATATGAGTGAGTGTGTGTGAGTATTAGTATATGAGTGAGTGTGTGTTAGTATATGAGTGTGTGAGTGTGTGTTAATATATGTGTGAGTGTATGTGAGTGTGTATTAGTATATGAGTGAGTGTGTGTTAGTATATGATTGTGTGAGTGAGTGTGGGGGACCGCACAGACTGTAACAACTACAGGGGCATCTCACTCCTCAGTGTGCCGGGAAAGGTCCCCTGGCAAGGATTATTCAGCATCGCCTTGCCAGGCACGCCGAGGAGAGGCTTGCGGAGCCCCAATGCGGTTTCAGGAAAGGGCGGTCCTGCACAGATGCCATATTTTCTGTACGTCTGCTACAGCAGAGGTGTAGGGAATTCCAACAAGACCTACATCTCTGCTTTAATGACCTGGTCAAGGCCTATGATACCATCAGTAGGCCTGGGCTCTGGGTCGTTCTTCGTGCTTTTGGAGTACCTGACCCTCTGCTCACGATCATTAAGGACCTTCATGATGGTGAGCGGGCCCGGGTAAGACTACGTGGCCGGGAGTCAGAGCCATTCCCTGTACACCTTGGGGTGCGACAGGGATGTCCTCTGGCTCCCACATCATTTAACATCTATTTTGACCACGTAGTTCGTGAAGCCTTCAATAGCTGTACCGGGGGAATCTCCATATGGTACAGATATAATGGGAGGCTGATCGATGCCCGGGTGCGGTCAAGGGATGGCTCCCTATTGCTCAACCATGTTATGTATGCTGATAATTTGGTAATAGCTGCTTAGTCAGAGGAGGAATTGGAGACGCTGCTGCTGAGACTGGAGCGTGCCACTAAGAGGTGGGGCCTTACCATCAGCCCCACCAAAACTAAGCACCTGCCTGGATATTTTGTACCATCGGACACTCCACCCCCACAACTCCCAATCGGTGATGGGGCAGTTGTGGAGAGAGTGGAGAGTTTCCCATACCTGGGCAGTGTGCTTATGACTGGCTCCAGTTTAACAGCAGAGGTCTCACTCCGAATCAGTCGAGCGGCAATATCTTTTCATCGGTTGCGTAACGCTGTGTGGAAGCTACCTGGTCTGTCGCTCCGCACTAAGCTTCAGGTCTTCTCGGCCACGGTCATTCCCTCCCTTCTCTACGCTTGCGAAACGTGGACCCCCCTAATGGAACATCTTCGCCGGTTAGAAACATTTAGGCTGGCCTGCTTACGACCCATCCTGGGTTTAACCAGACTGGATTGTGTGAGGAGCTCACAAATCCTTGAAAGATCTGGGCAAGGTCCCATCGGTGGGCTCCTCCGGCGGGCAAGGCTGCGATGGCTGGGTCATGTAGCCCGCATGCCCAGCCACCGCATGCCGAGGCAGCTTTTGTTCGGCCGGATTGAGGGGGCTAAGCGGGCGCGGCACGGGCTAGAGAAGAGATGGAGTGATGTGGTACAGGAGGACGTGGAGCTGAGTGGACTTGCCAATGACTGGTACCAGCGGTGTCAAGATCGGCCTCTGTGGAGGAGGCTCATGAAGGATGCTACTGGGCAGTTGGAGGCAGTCGCCCTCCAACAACAACGGAGGGCGGAGGAGCGACACTCAGAACAACGAGCGGAGCGCCGGGTGGCTAAAGCACAGCAGGTTGGCACAGTAGGGGGCACAGGTGGTGCATCAGCCAGTCATCTCAGTCAGTCGACCCGTGGCACCTGGGTCTGCCCCGTGACCTCCTGCCAGTGGGCGTTTGACACTTCACGTGGCCTCAGGGTGCACATAGCCTGGCACAAGCGTCGTGGTGACGTCACCGCCACTTAGTGGCGAATGGCGGTTGTTGTTGTTGAGTGTGTGTTAGTATATGAGTGAGTGTGTGTGAGTATATGAGTGTGTGTGTGTGAGTATATGTGTGTGTGTGTGAGTATATGTGTGTGTGTGAGTATATGAGTGAGTGAGTGTGCGTGTGTGTGTTAGTATATGAGTGTGTGAGTGAGTGTGTGTTAGTATATGAGTGTGTGAGTGAGTGTGTGTTAGTATATGAGTGTGTGAGTGAGTGTGTGTGAGTATATGAGTGTGTGTT